ATAAAGAAAAAATGTTACGGAAAAATGTATGTTTATTTTTCATAAAAGTTCTTCAATATATTTTCCATTCTGCTGCCTGTATAGCAAAATACGGTGACGATAGATTTCTTCCACTTTCAGAGTGGTAGCAATTGGAATACTTTCGCACTGCGTCAGAATACTCTAGTCGGTGCTCAGGAGCATTGGCATTTACAAGCGTGTGTGAACCGTTGTACAGTATATGCAACAGTACTTCTTAGATTATTGACGAAATTAGAAAGGTCGCTGACCAGAGGTAATCTTAACCAGGATCTAACGCGCCTCTTATAGTGTTTAAGTGATGTAATTCTACTTCGAGATAACGGCAATTGAGTGCTGCAAATAAGAACAGGATTACGAGCAGACGGTTATTACATTAGTTGTTATCATGGTCTGTTCACTTACTCGTCGTCTGTCGATCGACGTTTGTTTGGCGTTGATTGCGATGTACTACGGGAATAAGGAAAACCTTTCACTGGCGGTGAAGGAATTCAACAACATTTGTGTAACGAGGGTCACCAGAAACAGTGCCAAATCGATGATTACCAAATTCAAATCTATCGGAAGTGCACGCCATCGGAAACGCTAGGGACATCCACGAACAAAGACGGACGCATGTGATATATTCAACGTATTGCAACGTGTGCACCAAAATCCTCAGACGACCACAAGACCAATTTCCCAGGTCTTCAACATGTCACAGTATTCCGCGCTCAAGATAACAAGGGAAAACAACTTTCGGTCCGTCAAAAAGGCTCAACTACACGAACTTCGTTCGAATGATGCTGAAAGCCGACCAGAATTTTGCGCGTAATACCTGACACATTTGGACTTATGGTAAACGGGTTTCACGGACGAAGCCATTTCTTACGTGAAAGAATTCAAAGGTTAGTGAAAATCAGCAGAAAATGCGCGCCACCGTTTACAACACTGTCATTCGATATAGTGCTTATCCATCGATCAAAATGAACCCGGGGACCCCAATCAAGAAGCGATGCACGATCTACGACATTATTGCGTAGGCATATGAACGCCGAAAAACTGTGTATGAGGTTCTCCATTACTTGAAGAATAACCATACCGAAAATGACAGAAAACTTACCGCAGTGAATAGTAAAGTAATGTCCACTCCGAGCTTGATTCCCGACTCACCGACCAGAATGCGCACAGGTGCCTTTATGCCCGTCAACCAGGGTCCAAACAGTCGGTATCGTTGCAACAACGGATCATATAGAGACCATGATTGTTGGTCTTTGCTTCTTAGAGTTAGCGTCGCAACCGTCAGATCATAGTGTAACCAAGGATGACGAACCTTTCGTAACAAACTAACTGTAATGATTGTATTAGCAGCAGTAGTACGCACGGACTCGGAACACCAACCACGCAGTATGAATTACAGAACCCGAATCGATAATCAGCTATCACGGACTGGATCGCAGAAGCACTGGACCACAATGGCACGGATTCGCAATGTCCCACGAGAACGAGACGCGAAGAAAAGGCCACAGGACTGGCAGTAAGTAGTTCGTTTATTGGAAGAAATGAAGGTGATTAAATAATATGTACAACGGGAGATTATTGGCTATCTGGGCTTCCACCAATTGGATAGCAGTACTGCTTGCATAATCTTGCTTCTGTCTGCATTGTCTTGGATTAGCTGGCACCATCCACCAATGACGTGTATTCAGAAGCCATGCGCGTGCCATTGACGTCAGTATTCAAACTTGATTGATCGCAAATGTCCTGAAACTGTAACGCGCCGGTCCAGGGTAGGCGCCATCGTGTAGGCCAGGATCAACACAACTCTCCTCCCTCAAAAGAGCTGCGTCGAATTGGCTTGTTCATCTGATTGGTCGTCGGTGTACCAGTGGAGTATTCTCATCGGTAGACGTTCATGGAATAGGGGGCTGTTGCCTTCGATCTTCAGTAGGTGTTGACGGCAGGTTTTCTTGGGTTTCTTCGGCAAGGTCTTCAGTCCAAGTCGGAGTTTCGTTGAAGTGAATTTGGTCGATGTGGCGTCGATGAACCGTCGCATCTGTCAGATCAGATCTCGACCATAGCTTGGTCAATCTTGAAGGTAATGACTCCTCTTGATGGTCTCAAGTCATTTCCTCGGAAGTATACGAGTATACGTCACTCGAATCCACGCATCGCAGTGAGGAACGTAAGCTTCTGGCTTTGAACAGTTTTGCTGGGCTCTCTTGGGTGGTAGCATGTGCGGCATTCCGGTATTGCAGTATGAAGTTGTCTAGGAGTATCTCTAACTCTACAATTGCCCTTGGATTTGCAGAGGCACTCTTCACTCTTTTCACCAAATTTTCTGCTGTGCTGTCCGAGCAGGGGTGACATGATGCTGTGCGTAGATGTCAGCAGCCAATACTGTGCAGCCACGTTTCCAACCCCGCAGCGCAGAATTGAGAGAGATTTTCAGTCACCAACACTTGAGGAACACCCTCTCGACTGAAAGACTTTCGTAGTACCCGCATCACAAACGATGTATTTGGTGTGCTGGTTAGAAACACTTCAGGCCATTTTGAATATGAATCGATAAGTACTAGTGCATGATAATGACCGAGAAATAGTCCACAGAAGTCGGCGTGCACACGTTGCCATGGAATACAGCTTCCTGGCCATGGAACCCAATTCTTCGGCTTTGACTTCTGCTTTTGTAGGCATGCTTCGCAGTTCTTAGCAGTTCGACCAATATCTTCATATAGGCCGAGCCACAAACACATCTGTCTTGCCAACGACTTCATATTCTCCAACCCTAAGTGTCCTTTGTGCAGGTCTTCTGGCACTGCCTTGCGTAGAGGAGGTGGGATGATCAATCGATCGTTGCGGCATAGTATTCCGTCAGGTTGGACACTGATTTCTTCACGGTGTGCATAGAATGCTGCGAAATACCGCTTCAGGTCGGGACACCATCCTTTTGATACGGCCGTTATGATTTCTGCATAGTATCCTCTGGTACATCGGCGCAACTCTTCTCGGGATATCGGGGCAGCAGTAGCAATGAAGTGACACCTCTTAGCCTCCGAGAATTTGGACCACCACGAGAGAAAATCGGCCTGGGGAATGTCGTAGTCGTACGCAGCCAATGCAATGCTCCATCGCTGAGTCATCGCCGCCGTCGGTTTGGAGATCGACTTTTGTGGACTGAATAGATATTTCAACGCTTGATGATCGGTTACCATGGTGAAACACAATCCAAACAGGTATTTGTGTAGGCAACGGACGGCCCAATATACAGCTAGTGCTTCATTTTGCGTCTGCGAATATCCACGTTCTCCTTTGTTGAGTAGACGGGAGATGCAGACAATAGGACATCCGTTCCGTTCGAGGACGGCACCAATGCCAACATCTAATGCGTCGGTGATCAAAGTGGGATGTTTTGTCGGACAGAACGAGGCGAGTACTGGTCGGCCAGTTATCATCTGAATGCTTTCACGCAGAATTTGTTCATACTCGGTAGTCCATTTCCATTCCGTAGTCGACTGAGCAGCAAACAGCGGTTGGGCTTTTGTGGCGAAGTTCAGGATGAAACGCGAATAGTATTGGAGACATCCCATGATGGATATGAGTTGGTTTTGGTTTCTTGGTGACTCGAGTTCAGTCAATGGGGGGAAGCGACTTGGATCAGGGCGATAGCCTTTTGCATCCACTGTGAAACCCGAGAATTCCAATTCTGGTGAGCTGAACATGCATTTGGAAGCGCGAATTGACACGTTCTTTTTGGAGAACCGCTCCAGTAATCTGAGGAGTCTATCGTCATGCTCGGCCTTCGTTTTACCAAACACAATGACATCGTCCTGGTACGCTAACACACCATCGAGTCCGCGGATGATTTCGTCAATTGCCGCCTGGAATATGCCGGAGGATGTGTGGAGAACAAATGGTAGGAAGTTGTATTGCTACAGTCCCCATGGAGTGTTGGTAGTGGTGAAATGCCGGCAGATTGGTGCGAGTGGAATCTGGAGGTATGCATCAGCCAAGTCAAGCTTCGAGAAGCATGTGGTACCGTGCAATGCTTTCATGAAATCCTCCGGTTCCATAGTAGTAGCCCGTGGTAATCTGTACTTGGTATCAGGAATTGAACCGCAATAATCCGCGCAAGTAAGCTCCAACCGAACTAGTACGCAGTATGGAATAGAACTCCAGAATATTCGAAGTCAGTTTTCTATTACGCGCCGAAATTGTACAAAGCAATCGATCACGTAATGAAACAAGAATGTTCAGTTTATACACAATCACCACATCCCCCGCAGCTTGAATGAAGCTCGGGGTTGTTGTA